CGTATTAGTTCGTAATGTGAAAACTTATATTGCGGGACAGATCAATAATAAGGGAATATAAGTAAACAATAGAACTTAAATTAGATACATTGATTGATTAGATATGATAAAATATGAAAATGATAATAGATAATCTTAGACTATATGACGTCTAGATGGACAGTCAAAGTTCTGAAAGCTGAGGAACAAATAGCGTGCAACCGTTAGCCATTAAATGTTTTTCCCGCGTTTAGTATTAGTAGTACCGTCACGGTTGCGCGTTGCTTTCATATTTTTTGTTGTTTATTAGGATGATTTGTGTGATAGTGTGTAGAAATTACATAAGGACGATCTAAGTAAAATAATGAAAAGTCACTTAATATCCATAAGTACCATTGTTTCGTATCTGGTTTAGCAAAATAAGCCATTAAATTATTTCTCAAATAAATTATTATTGTGTTCGCCAGTTTGTATGTTGTGTGTGTTGAACTCAAGTCAAAACTCCCTAAAAAATGTGACGTTGTATGTAATACTTACTAGTCACTTCTTTTTATTCTGTAGTAAAGTATAGTGTAAATAAGTGTAAAATATTCAAAAATCAATAAAATTTAAATAGATATCATTTAAAGGGTTTTAATTTTAAAGTGAATACTTTTACCCGCGTTGAGTGATTTTTGGTAGGAGTATAATTCATGGATTGGCGTTGACTGCGACGGTGCGCAGTCACCAGCGAGCGATGCTCTATCTAGACAAATAAATAATCTAAGCAGATAATAATAACATTTCACGTTTCGTACGGTGTAGTTTCGGCCGCATCTAGTAACATATATTTAATAATTCGTGTTAAAACATTATTCATGTCATGGACATAACTTATTTAATTAAAGGTAAATATTTGATGGAAAGAGATTGTCACTTAGGATACCTTTAAAGGCAAACCAACCAACAATCGTAATAGATTTCTTTTACATTTAAACCGATATAGATAAACCCAATGAGGACGTAAAGGAACAATGTGAATTCGACCAAGTTTTGAATTTTTGTCATAAATCTATAATATAACAAAGAAACTGCATATAAATAAATATTTCCTACATTATAAAATATTTATATTAACTCTATTACTTAAGTAATGAAATATATTTAACACGTCTAAAATATAATTAAACGTAATAACAGGTAAATTACTCTAGAACTTATCACATCAATTTGTGACCAACCTAAATAAATATTTTACAAAGTGGAAGACATTTACGATTTTGTTGTTTCTCATTGTAGGATTAAACTAAAAATCTATTATGCCAATAATGTAATAAACTTAATGAAAATAATAATAACATTAAATTAATAGTATTAATCTTTAGGAAATTATATTTTTTGCAACTGGTATTTAAGTGTATTTTTTTTAAAATTGTCTCTGAAATTGTACATACCGATAGCGAAGAATCAGTAAAATGCTTTTTTCTAGAAGGCTTCGTTCGCTTTCAAGATATGAACATTGTTAAAAAAAGTTGAGTTTGTAAATAAAAGTACTAAAATTCTTTCTTGCATTGCGTGTTAGTGGACAAGGTTCTTTTATTATTATTTTTTTTAAAACAAATTTGGCGTACTATAGTGTCAAAAACAACCTATGGTCATAATTTATTGTAGTTGTGAGAGGTATAAGGACGTATCTCTGAGATATCTGAAAAAAAAATATATTCGAGAAACAGTCCCCATGCGTAAAAGGTCGTGTAATTTAAGATTTTTTTTTTGTTTAATTTAGACTCAAATAAGATTGTGTTTTTCATGAAAGTAAAATATAATTTCACTAAAGTTCAAACTTTATATTCTAAGTTCAGTTACTTCCTGTAGAAGCTCCGGGGCGCTATCCACATAACAAACATAAACATATTTATATCTAATCACCTTAACAATTTAGTTTAAAGGAGATGTATGAACATAAAATATGTACCCTGAATTTATTATATTTTTGTTTAGTATCTGCTCTTAAAAATATTATAAAAATTTATAAATTTTGTTACCGTTATGTCAAAAAAATCACTTAAACAAAAATATCTAAACACAGGTTCAAAAAGGTATTCACGTTCTACAACATCAGATTAGATATAAAAAAACATATTGCTAAAAGAGGGAAAAATATTGTCTGAAAAAAAATAAAATTTTTAGTATAAAGTAGTTACATCTAAAATTCAGAGTTGAATGAACATGTAGTTCAATATCTCAAAGAAGTTGAGCATCTACATATAAATTGAGCATATACAAGCTTTTTTAAGAAATACTCGATCTTTCATGAATATCATACATTAAAGTAGTTCAAGCCAAATTTAAAGTTTTAAAAATGTCTACTGGCCTTTGACATTTTCACATAACAGATTATATATTATTTCTTAAATATAACCTAATAATATAGCTATCTATAGAACACTTAGTCAAATTTGGCTTGACTGTTTTATTTAATGATCACTCTGACACAGCATTATCTGAATGAGCGTTAAAGCATATATGAGCAGCACACAATATTACATAAAATAATTTATATACAATTCAAATAATATATCTAACAAACGTCATTGGAGTTTGTTAGTATTTAAATATATTTATATATGTATTATGATAATCTGTGGAAAATACTGCCCATATAGCTATTCTTAAACATTATGGCATATTTCTGTTTGGGATATCTATTATAATTAGTACTAATTGAGCGTCGACTTAGTCTAAGTAAACATAAACTCAATAACATATATTTGGTTTAATTTCTACAAATATGCATAAAGTAACAGCACCTTTATATCACTGTGGTACATTCGTTGTCAAGACAACACAGTGCACAGATACAAAAAAAAAACGTTAAAAGTCGGGTCAAAACGATTAAATTGCAATAACATTTTATGCCAAACATGTAAATAGTTTAATGTGGACATAGTACCTATTTCCTTTAACTTTTTTAAATATTTTAAAGTATCGAGCGCCATCTAGTCATCGCGATAGCGAACTAAATTTAGAACATTAACTTTCAATTACATGCTTATTTACGGCCAATATTAATTTAATTTTGATGTAATATCATTTAAGAAAATAAAAAAGAGGTAACATGTAAGAAAAAAAAATATTCGTCAATTATATTACGTGTGGATATTATTTGTCATTGCCGACGATTTTTTAAATAATTATAATAGTCAGATGCTAGGTTGCTTTTTTAAGAGAAGGTTTATACTCTTAACAGAGTAGATTGCATCTTACAAATAAAAAACATTTGTATCTGTCCACTATGATATTAAGATAACCATTGAATATCAGATATTTTTTGATGCTTTGAAGAGGAACTTTCCTATGATTAATTTTGGCCATATTTTTACGAATGCCAAAAGCGAAATCACTTTTTAAAAAGTAAATCTAGTAATATCTTATTTCTTAGCTAATTAAACAAATGTCTAATAAATATCTAGTCCTATTTGTAAAATATTAAGATTCGCTAAAATATCTCAAAGATTAACAAAAGGTAGATCATTTACCAAAAATAAAAACATAAATTAGAACTATTTTTATATTATATTATGTGAACGTTATTTTAAATATAAAACTTTTAATATTTGTATTTTCTCTAAATCTTTCTACTCTAAAATATATTAAGTTAGTAATATAATTCCAAATTTATTTTGAGCTTTTAACTTTATACACAAGTGATGTTTTAAAAATTACACATTAAAAACAAATACTTTTGTACGCTATAGTACGAATAAGTGCCGCCTGCGCTATTTAGGAAGTCAATATCAAGAAAACGGACAAATTTGATAACTGAAAAACGCTAAACCCTTATTTAGCAAAGCAGCACCTCTTTGCTGTAACATTTTCATTGCTCCATGAAAATATTGTTTTTTAAATTAATGATGTTCAAATGGAACAAGTAGAAATCTTCAAATATTTAGGTAGCCGAATAACGCAATATTCTAGAATCTAAAATATTGCATTTAAACGGTTCTCTACTAGTAGACATAGTAGAGAACCTTGCAATCGCCAAACAAGCCTTCAATCGCAAGAAACACCTGTTCAAGGCCAAGATCAACACCGAAATAAGAAAACAGCTCATCAAGACATTTATATAGAGTATTGCATTTTATGGGTGCGAAACGAGGACATTGACCCAAAGAGACAGGCAGGTTAGCAGCATTTGCAATGTGGTGCTGGAGGCGAATGATGAACATCAGTTGGATGGACAAAAGAACCAATGAGGAGGTAATTGAGCGAAGAGAAGCAATTGTTGAATGCTATTGAAAACAGAAGATGGTTGGCCACATGATAAGACACGAGAACTTCTTCAGAATAATACTGGAAGGAAAAATAGAAGGCAAGATAAATAAAGGACGGCCTAGATAAATATACATACAGCAAGTGAAGGAAGTGAGAAGAGAAGTGAGAAAGCGAGAGTCGTGGCTTATCAAGAGGTCAAACAGATCGCAGGAAATAGAGAAGAGTGGTGATTGCTTCACCGACAAGGGCTTAGCTCTTAAATTAAGAGAGTTGTCACCTGTCAAATCTGATAGATGTCATGACAGGGAAAAATTAACACAAGAGACAAAGGGGTAAGATGAAAGAGCTTATAAATGTTAGAGACAACGAACAAGGTGCTATCGCATACACTTGGGAGAGAGCGAAAGAATATTTTTTTGGTTTTGTATCTCTCTCTGCTCTTGTCACTGATTGGCTATTTTAAATGCCCTCTTCAGTATAAGCTAATCAGTTCCAAGTGAAAGACCAAAACAGTCTTCTTTCTCTGTCTACTCACTTGTCACTGTCGATGTCACTTACAGAGGAATACACTCTATAGGCTAGATTCTAACACGCAAAAAAATTGACACTTGAAAAAATTCTATACTTACTGCACTTTTTAATTAGCAAGTGGCCACGAACGACCATCGAACACGCGAAACTCATTCATACTTTATTAAAAACTTATTTATATACGAAATATTTATCTATGTGAAAGGAGATTAGCTTTTTCGTTGCGGGACTTGTTGCTAGTTGACCATGAAGATTGGCCATTCGGGGCACGCGGCCGGCGGTGGTATGGGGATGGGCGACCCACCTCCCACTGATACTACTTCTGGTATCTGAAAGCATTAGTAATATTATTTGATGCAATCTTAAAATGATAAAATAATTTGACGTGTGACGGTGCTTCTACACGGTGCAAGTAGTTAGAGTAGTATGAACGAGTTACTTGCTCATAACTTGTATATGCTGCTCGCGCGGGTTACATGTATGGGTCTTGCTAGTTTCTTGCTAGAGTGCAGGCTTGTACACTGTGTAGTAGCAGGAGCAAGTAATCGCGTTAAAATTCCTCGACGAACGAGAATTCTTATGGAATCATCTGTTAAAAATGTTATTCTGCTAGAGTTCATAAATTTAGCGCTTGATGCAAATCGTACAGGTTACCTACGAGGGTGGCTCGCTAGGTAAATGCTCGAGTCCTTTTCGCGAAGCATATAACCTGCGCAAGTGCCTCAATATGCGCAAGCTACTTGCATCGTGCAGAAGCACCCTTAAGAAATGGCAATAATTATGTAGAAGTTAAATGAATTTTATGGGGTAATAGTGCATACATGTACATACAGTACTACCATGTATGGAAAACCAAAGATAAAAAATAATAGATAGCTAAATGAGTTTTTTTTTGTTTTTCATACTTTTAAAACATAATTATACCAATTTATATTGTATACATGACATCGTAATCATCAACAGCCTTTAGTAGTCCACTACTGGACATACGCTTCTCCTAAGAAATGAGGTTTTGGCCTACTATACCATTGCTCCCTTCTCTGTTTTCCTTCTCTTTGCACTGCTGATGTCCTGCGTAGTTTGCTCCCTTAGGCGGCTCTTACGACACTCATGGAATGAATAGGAACCACATGGATCTATTTACCTAGTTTTATTACCATACAAATAGTTTTATTTAAATAATGTGTACGGGACACTTGCACAATATATGTATGTGTTACATTAGAGATGTTTTATAAACTACACTTTTTTTGTAATTGTTTCTTTCTAGAACAAGAAGACTGGTCAAAAGCGGAGTAAGGTGTAAAGAGTAGTATGTTACGCTATTACGCGGTAACTACACAAACGATGACATGTTTCGAAAAGTCCAGAAAAAAAACGGTTTTAATTTGGCAAAAAGTACTGTTTTAATAATGATGATAAAAAGTTGAAAGCTATTAAAAATATATATATTTACGTACTCACCATGGTCTGGGGATGGTGTGGTGGATGGTAGTAATGAGCCGGTGATACCGGGGGCGTAGGATACCCCCAATAGACCAGAGGGGGTGGTGGCAGAGTGGGTCCCATTGCCGGGTAGTAGTACGTCAGGGGACCTGGCACACACAAACAAACCCTATGTTAGAAAAAAACATTAATTGTTCAATTGTTGACATATTAGGCTCAAATAAGTTCATCGTGTGAGAACCTAATTTATTTAAAATATGTATATATAATAGATCATGAAACATTCTGTTGAAAATAAATATACTCTTATTTTCAGATACAAATAATACTGATAAAACGTTTTCTATGACGTAAGAACGGTTTTATTCCCATCTGCTAATGTCATTAGACGCCGTGTTGGTTGTTGTATGTTGTCCACTAGTATAGAGCCACATAATAAATTAGTATATTCCTGTAGATAAATCATGCATTGTTAGTCACACTTTATGATACCTATATTTGTATTTTCTTCCGATGTTTAATGTGCAGTTGCGACGTGTAGAAAGGATCGTTATATTCGAAATTTAAAGTAGTGTGATTTACAAAATGAGTTTTCTTCACGTCACATTTTATATAAATATTTAAGTACCAATAGTTTAGCCCAAAAATTTTCACCGCCCGCTTTCGTGCCTATGATATAAATACTCCCAATACATGTATATTATTGTGTATGAAACTATGTACTAGTTAATACTAAAATGCTTAGGATAAAGAATTACAATTTAATAAAGGTTAAGCTAAGCCTTTTGTGCCAGAGTGACCTCGTAAACGATAGTAGGAGACGTACACAATAGTTATATGTAAGTTAGATTGCTCTGAGTAATCGGCTAAAAGGTTTCTACACAAACTTAAAATAAAAGCAAAAATACAATATTTTTGTTCACGACACGTACCTAATTCACTCCTGACTCAGAGCAACAAAACTATCCGACTTATAGCCGGCGTTCAGCTATAGCACTGCATAGTACAGGGCTTTCTAAGCATAAACGATTATGAATCTTATTCAAATAAAGATAGTTCTTACATTCGTTGGGAAGCTCACAGCAGGCTTTGGCATGCTGCGGTTGTCAACAAAATGTGAATGCTATGAATATTCGAATAAGTTCCTAAATCATTTCCACTTATGAATATAGTTTACTGTGCCGTGCTGTAAGTGAGCGTCGGCCTTGAACTAGTTACATGATGTAGGTATATGTGGTAGACCGATCACTCGCAGCAATCTTAATCTGTATGTAATTATTAAGAACATGATGAACACTCACCGGGTCTCACGCATTAACATTCCACCAAAGCAGTGCGCACTTACACCAATACTCTGTTTGTTACACACGCCGCTGATGCCGCCAACACCAAGCCAGTCTGCGGACTTTACCAAACTTATGCACGCCTAGTACCCTAGTACTTTTAGCACCACTATTTTGCGATCTCAATGTATAGACTGCTTTTTATAAATTGCTAATAATAATTATACTTTGTAACATTAATCAGTACAGTGTATATTATTGAATATATTCTTTATATTAAGTATAATATTAAGTTTCAATGTATACTTTCACAAAAAGTATACATACACTTTATTGCTTAAATTAGTAAAGTAAAAGTTAACAAAAAGATAAGTTAAAAATAGCTGATAATGTCAATTGAGAACGCAATCGTAAGGCGATAAATCAAGAATAGATAGAGCTTATTTCACGTGATCCCACAACAAATGATAGATAGATACTTACGCCGCTTCATGTTAAGTACACTGTAAGACACGGTGACCATTATGGACCCATTCTAGTGGGGCATTAACACCTTATACCCATGGACCTACGACCTTAAGCACAACACATCTTTTTCTACAACACACTAAGCTTGAGTACCTGGGACATGTTTTACAGGTTTATTTGAATTCTCTCACCGGTCCATGCATTTTAAGCGAACAATGTAATGTATATTTTATATTGGGGCATACGCGGCTAAAGCTTGTTACATTTTTTGTATATACATAGAGCCAAAAAAGCTGTCTTAGAGTCAAAAAAGCTAATATCACGCGAAACTTATACAGAAAGTATTTAAGCCAAGGCATGACATGGTGAAAATGATTTATACCTTATTCTAATTAAGATACGATAAATTAGAAAAGGTAATGACTGTCTATATATTTTCAAACATCTTTAGTCGACTATGCCCCAAACAAATCAAATATATGACTGGAAGCCTGTGCTTACTGTGTAGATTCGTTATTTTCACCTTTTTCGTGTCCCATGGGTTTTGTACAATGTCTGTTCTCGAGACACAGGGGACGGTTAGAAGCAGTTAGGAGGCGGGCATGATTGTGCTATGAATCTATTATCTCGTGAAGGAAAGTTATACTAAAACAATTATATTAAAATCTAATTTCCTTTGTGCGATGTTGACTGTGTATGTTTAACATTTAAATGTGCAAACTGAAAGTGTAATTTAAAATAAACGGGTTTCGTAAATAATATTAAATACTGCCTTTCATAGACAGCAGAGTGATGGCGTGGCTTTTACGAATAATAAAAGAGGTTTAAGGTGACTGAACTTATCGCAGATCCATTAAATAAGAAAGAAAACTTACCAAGAACATTTATATGCCCACTCACCCTGAAGTATGTTAGTAAACATAAAGGACGGTACTGTATTGTAGCAGAGACGTCAAGCGGTCGAATGTTAGTTTATATACCCTTCCTTCACAAGTACCTGCTGATATCTAAGCAGATGACGAAGCCTCAATAACCTTCTATAATGAACCTGATTTTATCACTTACAATAGAGTACAAAACAATAAATACCAAGGATGCAGTTAAATTTTCTTATATATATGCATAAATAATTCTTAATTAACCGATATTTTAAATGCAGCAGATATTATTGCTCGTCAATACGTTCTATTATGAATATGGCGAAAGACTATGAAAGCGAGAAAATCAGTCCCATTGAAGGCCAGACCTCAGAAATAGTACATATATAGAGACGATAGCACAACCACAAACCAGAGAAACTCGCAATTATAATCTAACATGTAAATTAACCTTTTATTTCTAATCGCAATACACTATAATTATCCAACTAAAATTATAATAAAAACCATTATGATTCAAACAAGATGAGACATAAAAACTCTGTAAAACGGAAATGTAACTTATTTCTAATCTATAAAAGTATGATTTTAAACCATTTTTAGGCTTTATAACTATTTTTTAAATAAACGTGTATAAAGAATTAATATTAGTTTCAAAAAAAGATATTCTTGAAACTCTTTTTGGCAGTTTTCATTGTGACCCAGGATGTGTCTATAGTAAATGAATAAGTGTCATCTGATTTCCTCACACCACATCCTCCAGTCACTACACAAGACATTTCGACAAAACTTGGTGCAACTTTACTGTGTACTCGTTTTGAAAATTGTTAATTTCGTTCAGTTGACGGCAATGGCCACGGGGGCAATCAATTCGCGTTGGGATACTAGAATTATGATTGCTATTAAACATGTTATTTAGCGATTAGTCGTTACGGAGAATATCTAGTCAATGACACTTTGTTTTTTAATAAATCTTTTTTATGTGATGACACTGGATACTTGAGAAGAAATTTCAGTAAATTTTTTAGTGTGTTATGCAAAGAATAGCAGAAAGTTATTATGATACCTTTTTATTGTGATACTAATTAAAAAAGAAACGAATTTGTCTACGATTTTCTTTACCTGCTCAACCATTTATAATAATTTTACTTCATTTTTCCTAGTTATTGCTTATTAGTAATTGGAGCAAGTTTTGTGCCTCGTATCTGTAGTCATTCAACGTAAACAGATTGGTATATTAAGTATAAATACACTACATGATTGCCACTGTACCTATTATCGCCCCTGTACTAATATATGAAAAGATTCGTAAAATTTAAAAAGCTCTCAAAAATTGTAGTAGATTTTCGTTATCAACAAACAAGTTTTAACAGGTCTATAACTATGTTCTAAACTAGAGTTAACTTAAAACTGCACAAAGAAGTGTTGAAATTTGAGCCAAAACAAATTAATTTAATCCGAAATGAGACAAGAAAAAGCAGTCTTCAGAATAGCAGAAGAAGAAAGAAGCTGTGATTAAAGAGTTGCGTGTTAATGACTGGAGGAGACCAGGACCCTTACCACAACATAATTCCAACCTTAATACTTTTGAAATAGTGTTGATTACATTTAAAAGACAAACACGAGGCGTTACATTACGGTAGTTTCATTTAAAAGTTAATTCCTCACACCTTATTGATAATAAAGTACACTTTTAGTAAATGTTCAAAGGGTACCAGCTTATCTAAACCATAGTACCAAGACAACGATACAGTGTACATTGTATTGTGAAACATTAACATACAGTTTCGTTACAGAACATGTTGTATCCAGCGGCGGTGTGCTTTGGAAAACTATTAAGCGATATTGGTATATATTTTCGGTCCCGAGCCATGCAACCCTGTTCCTACAAGTAAGCGGTTCATGCACACCCGTTGACTCTTATTTAAAATTGACATAAAGTCTCCTTTGAAACAAAATAAAGTGTGCAGCACTTACCGTATTACAGATGGGTTTCATGCATATTTTCCATAACACAACCCGTCAGATACACCATTAATACAACATTTTTGTAAATAACCATTATTAATAAACACAATATTGCATTTAAAATATCCTATTTTTTTGCAAATTTGGTAATTTTACAAATTTTTTTTCACAAAAAGATTAGATGTCAACTGTAAAAAGGCCAAATATTGCAATGCATAAATAAATTTAGAGATGACAGAACATAGATTAGCCATAACACCGTGTTTGTGACTCAGCCCCCATATACCTACATTTGTGAATATTGAGAGATGGCAGCACCATATAAAATGACGTTAACTTGAAATTCTTAATGTTCCACTAAACAAATCACCCATATTGTAATATATGCCCGAAATTGAAAATATACACAAAAATAAAACAATCTTACTAGTTGTGTTAAATTTAAATACAGAACATTTGCAAAGAAAATTATAATATATAGTTTGCATTCAGGTTTATATTCCAATATATAATAATGTATAATATAATTATATTCTTGTCTACATTATGTGGTGTGAGGTACAGACGATGAAGTTAAGCTAGTAGGTATAACCAAGTGTTATTATAATAGCCGGTTGATATTTAATAGTACAATGTATGGGATAGGGTGTTGGTCATAGGAAGTTGTGGAATGCGGCCGTCCGGATAGACTGTTTGGAAGAGCTTTTTACACCTACCAATGATTCTTTTATTACATTGATCTAAATGATTTTGGTTTTTCAGTAAATAATGATGTAAGTATTTCCTTACTTTTTAAAATGCATGTAGTTTAATTTTAATATAGCGATTGATTTTGATATGTAAATTTTATAAATAAACCAAAATATAGGTAAAAAAATGATTATACGACAAAAAAAAAATTACAAAGCCAAAAAATGCATGAAAACTATATCATTTAGTGAAACGAGTGCGATATAAAACACAACACGATATTGTATAAACACTATATACTTAAAAATAAAGTGTAAACTAACCACGAAACGTGTACACACTTATTGTACTCAAAATAAAAATCAAAATAATTAAGTATCTAAACAATTTAGTTACCACTCACAAATATGTCTAGAAGCTAGAGTACTGCGAAACTATACCTACTATTATTGTATTTTTACATTTACCCAACAATTCAGTAGAGACGACTACCCCTCCCGGGGCCCTCCATGTCCTAGTGACTCCAATCACAGGACATATGGCTACGCGACCCCAGACCTTCAGGGTCTTATTGTCTCCCTAAACCTAGTTCCCTCGCTCTATCCATGTTAGTTATGACAAACGATTTGTGTCATCACAGTTTAATCTCAAAAACTTCTGGATCAGATAGCTTCTGACAGAATGAAAAAAAAGAGTGTTTTTTTTACCGCAGTACCCAGCTTCGTAAGATTAAGTACCTAACATTTCAGACTTGTAATCAGCCTTCATAAACTTGGCATAAGATTGTCTTTTAATATGGAATGTTTATATTTAAAAATCACAACAAGTACTCATCACACATCACGGGCTGCCATTATAACCTATTTTCGACTAAAAATATATATAAAAGAAAATTAAAATCTGTATTTTTTTAAAGTAACTGTAGCTATATTTCAGTAAGTACATGAATTATTTATTTACTATTTCAAATGGACATGGGTTTCTATTTATATAATGGCAACCCTGTTATAAAACGTAAAATAAAACGTATAAACTACTTGTCATTGATAAATAACCTCGGGTTCACTTAAACATAAATTAAAAATGAGAGTTCAACAATGTTAAAAGTCAAATAATAAATTCAACAAGTTTTAAGTAAGTATTTAACCTATTAAATATCGAGCTGCACATCCTTGCTGCCGTTGATTCAAACTTAGTTACGCTTATTTTTTTAGTAAATTCATGTTTCAAGCTTAAAATACCGTAACAATCGAGAAGGCACTTATTTGATTTGAGCTTATAATCAAAATGTCATTCTGTTTACCCTGTAATTTTACCGGTTTCTTAATTACCGTTTGTAAACGACACAGACAATTATATATTTTTTAATTTAGCCGTACCCTATATTATTTTAGATATTCTATATTAGCTCTATGCTTTGTTGACAGTGAGAATTTAAAAAAAATTAGTCAGCTACCATTTGCGTTCCCTCAGGTACCTTTAGTGATAATAAGTTAGTAATTGTACTCCGTGCTGTTAGCTTTCGAAGTGTAAGTGCCTTGGAAGGCGTAAATCACGTTCGGTAATGACCAAAGTTACCCAAAGATTAATGTGACATTACATTGACCGATGCTTTTTAAATTATAAAAGTTTTGATTATATGCTTTAAATATCAGCGTTTAGCTACAAGCATATCAAGAACTATTTCAAACAGTTTAAACTTCAACGCCGTTTCGCGCCGCAATTAAAGGTTTATACACCTCAGAGGTAAATAAACAATCAAGAAAGGAAGAACACGAAAACAATACATACTTTAAAACGTTAAAATCCAATTACGATAATCGATTTATGATCATTATTATCTAAACGCCGGGATAATACGGGTAAGTAGGAAACATAGACAATGTCGGGAACGGTGAGGCCATAGATTGTTGAAGTGCAGCGGCAGATAGGGCAGATCCGTACCCTGCTGGCAAAGCAGTTGGTAAGGCTGTCGGCAATGCGTTATAGGTCGATAGCATAGGGCTTGTATTTGCGTACGAAAAAATAGGAGCAGACGTTCCATAGGAGAACACAGGAAGCGATAGTGCCGGGGCCATCTGTTGTTGGACTGTATAAGGTCTCTTAGCAGGAGTCGCTTCAGCTTGAGAAAAGGCTCTTTCATAAGTTCTTTTAGTCGGGAGAACAGTCTGCTGTTGAAGCATTGATGGATGGATATGGTAACTTGGAGCAGCTGGTGAAGGTGAGCGGACGGTCGCGTAAGTGGGAAGGAATGGGACCAAAGGGGGTCTAAGGGAGGCCAGAAGGAGGTTTTCGTGCTGTCGCGCGAGGAGGCTTTGGTGCGCGATGTGTTGGGCCAGCAGGCGCGGCGCAGGCGCGGGCGGAGGGGGTGACATCAACGTACCGGGGGATAGAACCTTTGGAGACGTAGCAGGGGTAACTCCGCCGGTCAGGACCAGGTTCATATCATCGCCGGAGCACTGGAACACCTGTCAGCAGAAAAAGTAAAATTATAACTGCAATAGTAAGATTAAACTACTTGCCCCTTATCTTCTCAAGAGTAGTTTTGGTGTCAAACATACCTCGATATACCGCTGTTTTTTGCCAAAAGTCATGTAACGGTGATGCTTCTGCTGTGCACAGAGGAAAGCACTCGCTTCACTGTCCATTTGAATAAAAGCTTCGCCACTCGGGTGACCCTGAAAGTTATGTGAAATTAGCTCACCTTAAATTAATCTTGGAAATTCTGGAACTATTATTAAAAACTGACAGATCTTTTACCTGAGCGTTGTACACCATGTGGACTCCTTGCACTACTATGTTCTTTGCGAACTCATCCAGAAAGGTCAATATGTGTTCCACCTGGAAGGGAAGCATTATGAACATTTTTTAAAATATATTCTAAGTTCTTTTATAAGTACGATCTCTATACACATATTCTTCGTCAACTCAATATCGATTTTTAAAAAACCCGATGACATGAGGTACTGTCGTCATCTAGGAATCTGTACCTAGATTTCCAATGCTTCCAGGATTAACAATTAACACCTGTCTTATTGTACTGCTCGCGTGCATTCTATAGAAACTAAAAATAACTAACTTGAGTTAATGCGAAATCCTAAAGAAAGGAAGGTGGAGGAACACGAGTATCGATAAGGCAAGGCAATCACTTCAACCGGATGTTGGGAAATATATACACTAAGTAATCGGTGTGAGAACTATCATTGCGTGTTGCAGGACTAGTAGTTACTCCGTAGTTAAGATGGTAGGGAAGTATGTTCATCGTCGTACGTGGTAATCGCAACAACAGATTCCTAGAAGAATCAAAGTCAATCAACTCACTTGAGCTTCGTAAGGCAGTCCCCGGAGCCGGACGCAGTCTTTAGCAGTTCCCGATGTGATGACATGCTGAGGAACCAGCGTGACTGGCATCAGACCCTCAGCCGGTGCAGGGGCAGTTGAAGGTGTGCTGGTTTGACTCGTGCGGGGCTCTAATGACCTGTTTAAGACCTGGAGAACAGAGCAACTTGTTTATCAAATGTTTTTACAAAATGTTATGTACACCTTGTGGAAATTTTATTTAAAATGTATATAATATGTATGATTAAGTCTAGATCGGCTTTAATGAAATTTTGGAAAAAAAATGTGTTTACTTGAAAAAGAATTTGGTTTTTGAGGCAAGTAGGTTACCTCCTCAGTACAAAAGTTTGAGTTTGTTGTAAAAGTGCTAACTAATAGATTCGAAAACCTCGTTTTTAATTTTTGATGAACTTTTAATAATTTAACTTTGACGCACTCTGAAAATATAATATATGTATTACGTTCTTAGTGTAGCATTTAAATGTAAAGTAAGAAACAATTCCTTAACAAATTATGTACATATCTTCGGGTTCAAAGTTTTACGGGCGATCTATCGGTAGGTAATGAAATAATAATGAGTAACACAATAAACCCAGGACAGGTTTATTTGAAACATTGTAAAAGCTAAATTGCTAGAATACTTGCAGTTTAAACACTTCAACAGTTTCTAATCAGTCAGATAATGGTATTTGTTAGAAACTAAGAGTTGTTAGCTGCTTACATTAATGTTTTATTCACAAACTAATTAAATGGAGTGTACCAATTGGAAGCATCCCAAATTAATGCATACAGTAACATTCAAATTAAAAAATAAAGAAACATGTATATAAAAGGATGACTAAAAATAAAGTATCTGGTGTTTTAATTGTGCGAAAATAAGAAAAAAGAAAAATTAAAAGAAAAGGACGTAATGTTTTGGGTCTTGCGTTAGCAATAACCATACATGTACGAGTATTGCATTTAGAAATTACTAGGAACTTACCGTGACCCTTCAGGGCTGGCTAAGACAGAAAATTAGATTTATTGAGTTATTAATTTTAAATACCAGATAATATTACTAAACATCGTATGCATTTATAATTAAAACCGTTTTATACGATAGTAACAAATATATAATATTTAATACTGTTTTTATATATTGTAAACAATGTATCAAAACATGATCCTGCGGTAATTGTATACCAAGTTTACTTATGTCTACACATTACTTTTTAACAACGTAAATGATACTAATCATGTACATAATTTTCAGGAAACATTTGAAATGCAAACAAAACAATGTGAAAACCTTGACAAAAATGACAGATGTCTACAAATTGTTGCGTTTAACATAAATCCATCGTTTACGTCTATTTGTACCTTGTTTACAATCGGTAGGTAACATAAATAAGTTCTTTTGTTAACAGAAAATCTTCTCGGATTGTACAAATTCGAGAGATTGATCAAAATAAATTTCTGAGTCTTGACATCAAAATAAATTTCTTCTGACACTGATTGAACCTTTCGATGACCCTACAATTTAGAGATCCAGGAGAGAAGAGTCCGTCAGGAGTTACGAATGTTCAGCACACTTAATAATGTAACCTACCCTGCATTACCACAAATAAAATTGAGCGGATATTACTTTTTTGTTTTATAAGACAACTCCCACATGAAATGGACACAAAGAACACACAGACTCAGAACAACAATTTGTGGATCACACAAAGTGTCGTCCCATGTAGGCATCGTACCCACAACACTCAGGATAGCAGTAAGCGGCTTGGCGGCCAGCCAGCAGTACAGGTTCAGCCTAGTTTGGGATCAGGCGGCCAAGTATGGGATGTGTCAAGTCATTGTAATTAGTATTATTAACACGCTGTTTCAAATATGCAGAAACTATGTAGACAAAGGCGTGAGCTACCGTGTCTCTTATCATTTTGCAGTATTAGATTTACAACATTTTACATCCATGTTTGACATGATAGTTGTCATTAAATTTTATCAATGTATCGATAAACAACTTGGCATTGTACTTAATTATTGTCTGGTATAGAATATATGACTTGTAAGTATTTTAGCTTAACTTTCTTTTATGTTTGTGAAGTCCCTCGCGACACGGGATATATATACAGTGCGGGAGTTGTCTTTTAAAAACAAAAAAAAACAGCAAACTTTTCTTTGAAGCAAATCTTACGTAAATGTTATAATTGATCAACACGCAGTTCAACTTAAAATTGAGTTTCTGGCGATTATGATTTTTATAAACAGTACAGTGATAAACAGTAGGCTACCTGGGTGATTCTGTAGATATGAGTTTAAAAAGCTATAAAGGAAAGACTAGGCTTTGACAATTCTTCAACCCAGAGGTTAATACCGTGTCGAATTTCCAGACAAACCTTATGCTTTGTGCTCATTTTGGCATTATACTCAATTTAATTAATTTCTTATCAGTTCGAAATGAGTTCAGAAATATTATTCTATTTTAAGTCTGGAGTCACTTAGATAATATATTCGTATAATATGTAACTATACAAGTGCGATCGCAGGATTGCAATTGAGACAAAGACAATCAATTACTTTTGTCATTGCTTTTCAAATACTGCAGAGAAATATGTAAAATTAAAGTTTGTTTAAAACAAAACTATTCAACAGCATTTGTGAAAACAAATGTAGCTGAAAAACTGATTTTGATAATTATATAACAATTTTTTTTCTTTAAATGATTATTCCAATATAATTGACCTATAGGTGCCCATTGCTACAGAACATATTATGAATTTACATGTCAATTTTAATTCAAATTTTTTAATGTGGCAAATCATTCGAGATTTGACATCAATATTTTCGGTACTAAACTCCAATAGCACTTTCTTACGAAATAGCATTACTTATTTATTTTAAATTACTTTAAAAAAATATTAATAATTTTTAATAATTGTCAAATAGAATTGTAAAATAGGATTTCTGTAAGTTCTAATAAGAAATCCTATAACTTAGTGCTTTATGTTTTTATTGGTCTGGTTACGCTATACGGCTCTCTCTTTCTTTCTTTCAAACTCATTTTAACACAAAAAGTACAGAAACTTTTAATGTTAACGGCATTCATAGCTGTAAATTTAAAAAAAAAAACAAATTTAGTAATGAAAACTCTATCGAAATAATATGTTATGACAATATATTAGCTATAGGAATAAATAATGCAGTCGTAATGGAAACATATACAGAAAATTAACATAGCTGACTTTCACTGTGCAGAAATAAAACGTTATCATGAAAATATTAGTTGTTTGTTAGATAGCAAACACCGTACAATATTTCTGTTGATTGGATTGAGTTTCTCATTAGTTCAATACTGATACTAGTACCTATACTTAATACTTTTCAGGTTCAGGTATCAGGTCAACTATTTTTTTCTCTTGTGAGCCTCCCCTCCCCCATCCCCAAAAAAGGCAGAGGGGAAACACTGGTTTTCAGTGACGCCGTCGTATCACTCCAGTCGAGCAGACCGATTTGTGGGGAATCATGGCTCTTCCGCGATCTGACCGTGAAGAAGAAATCTCAGAGTGACATGACTAAGTAAAATTCGAAATAGTGTTTTGTATACTATATACATAGTTCGCGATATTGACATCATCTGCCTACCCTTTTCCCAATTTTATTTGGGGTCGGCGCAGTATGTATGATTTTTCCATTCTACTCTGTCATGCGTCATCTCACTGTTTACTCCCTTCCTAGCCATATCCTCCCTGACGCAGTCCATCCACCTCTTCTTCGGTCTGCCTCTTCTCTTGTACCCTTCAACTCTCATACCTAAAACTTTCTTCGCCACATTTTCCTCATCTTTCCGCATGACATGTCCATACCAAGATAACCTATTACTTCTTAACTTTTCATCCAGTGGCGCTACTTTCAGACTCCCTCGTATATACTCATTCCTAAACTTGTCCATCTGAGTCACACCACACATCCATCTCAGCATTCGCATTTCGGCTACGTTCAGGCGTCTCTCATCCGTTCTCTTAATGGGCCAACTTTCAGAGCCGTACAGGACGGCAGGTCTGATAATAGTTTTATAAATTTGTCCCTTCAGTGTTAAGGGGAAACTGGGGTCACAAGTTGTTCCCGTTACCTGCCGCCACTTCATCCATCCCGTATTGATTCGATGCTGTACAGTTTGATCAATCTCACCATCACATTGTAAGAGGGAGCCGAGGTACTTGAAATTGGAGCAGACTGTTATCGCTATCCCGTCCAGTGAACTGGTTTCAGGACTGGAGAGACCGCCGAAATCGCAGAACATATACTCAGTTTTGGTTCTGCTGATTTTCAAGCCAACATTCTCCAGCCTTTGCTGCTATTTTTCCAGTCTGCTCTGGACCTCAACCCCATCTTCACCGACCAACACAATGTCATCTGCAAATAGCATGCACCAAGGTGCCTCCTCCTGTAAGTCCGATGTCAGAGCATCCATTATCAACAAGTAGAGGTATGGGCTCAGAGCTGATCCCTGGTGCAAGCCTACAGAGACACTGAATTGATCAGTGTTTCCCGTGACCGACCTTACATGAGTGCTAGACTCTCTGTACATAGCACGAATCAATTCTACATACTTTACAGGCACTCTTTCTTCTTTCAAAGCCCACCACAAAACCTCTCGGGGTACCCTATCATATGCCTTTTCGAGATCCACAAACACTATATGCAAGTTTTTGTGCGCACTCCTGTATTTCTCACATAGTTGGCGCATTGCAAATATAGCTTCTGTTGTCCCGCGTCCTGGCATAAACCCAAATTGACTTTGGGTTATCTGACTCTCATCTCTTATTCTTCTCTCAATCACTTTCTCCCAGACTTTCATAGTATGTGACATGAGCTTTATTCCTCGATAGTTGTTGCATTCCTGAACATCTCCTTTATTATTGAAAATGGTTCGCGAAATTGACATATTTTATAAATTTTATTATGTCTCTTTAAGGAATTGTTTTAATTGATCGATCGGTATTTAATCGCATGTGAACTAGCGGTATTATTAGATAAATATGTATATATATATATATTTGGCAAACGTGACTGCAAAGGCGGGTAGAAGGAGCTCACACCAAATATCAAAATAGCAAATTCCGTAATGTTCTGAAGATAGGGTCGGTTAGAAGTTCCAGAGACCGAGGCTTATGTGAAAGGTTTAATATACCGTAGAGGAAGCTGATAAGACATGACAGGATAATGTAAATTGCAGGTTGTTGTTCTTGTCTACCCCGAAGGAAGAAGGACGTGATCGTATGTAACGGTAACACAGGTTTTTTGCCATCATTGCAATCCCAAAAATATGTTTTGCTCATTTGTGAAAATAAATAAAATGGTAAGAGGTACCTATTGTTCCTTCAGGTATATAGTTCATTTTAAAGGACGTCTTCGTCTCTGAAAGAAAAGAGCGCTAGGGATATGAGAGAGATGGTCCTGGATAGTGACGAGTGGGTATTACTAAGATTAAAACTCAAGGATGGAAGGGTTTGTAATCGAGGTTTCAGCCTTACGTTAGCCTGTGTCATTTTCACCCTTAATTTTCTATTTATGGTACCTTAAATAGTTTAAAACAATGAAATGTTACTACTTAACCGGCTAACGGACGTGATTTTAATAAAAATATTATGAGTCGCACATATTCTTTCTATGCCAGATCTTGTAGTGATGTCTGAGTCGTATTTTTTATGGTATTCGCACTTTTAAAATGCTAATCACCTACTATGTATCGATCCTGGGTTCAATTATAGAAATACAAAAAAATATTTGCTAGAATTATTCAAACGATGGAATCACTATTCCTTACGTAACAGAAGTCAGAAGGTTAATTCTCGTAATATTTTTTTCAAAATTCAGTTGCGATTTACTCTCGATCTCACAAATGTCATAAAATATATTCTCGTAGTAAAGTCATCATCACTCTGGCTCTGAAATCTGCTTTTTCGAAAGTGAACCTTGGGCCCATATTAGAAGTTTCTTTAGTTCCTTTAATACCCTAATTGATTTTTTTTTAAAGAGAACTTCGCACTACGAATACATCCTATGTCGCGCGGGACTTTACAAACAAACATGAAACGGACACAAAGTACACCCAGACTCACAACAATAATTTGTGGATCACACAAATTGTTGTAGGAAGCGGCGAGGCTAAAAACCACTACGCCGTCCGTGTTGTCAAATTAGCTCACACATTTAAAAGTTGCAAGACCTGTTTTGATAATATAACTGTTTGATAGTTGAACTATATATTTCTTGAAACGAGTCTCTTCGACCGCGCTAATGAAGCAATTATCAGTAATAACATTTTACCGGCTTCTAATCGGTCACCTTTTTAGTGTGACCGATTAGGACGCACGGGTTCCGTGCATCGTTCAGTGTTTATAACCACTAACCTGTCATAATGAACGTAGAAAGGTGGGAAATACGGATCGAGTTCCAATCAGTTTAGATACACAAACAAAATTCTTCGGAGTTTAATTATTTTGCACTCCACGACAGTAATACACATAAAAATTAATTGCCCTAAAATTACTTGATTCATCAGCGTAGAGAAACTGCAGGGGCCATAAACTTGATATGTTAACAGCTGAAACTTTTTGTTGTAAAAGCCCAGTAAGATTGTTGTTTTGGGAATTTCACTTCATTCTTTCATTGGATTTAAAATAAAGGATGAACGGTTGTATTGAAGTTAGTCACTATCAAAGTTCAAAACACGCAATGAGAAATAATAACGGGAGCCAAGCCGCAGACAATAGCTAGTCTTAGAAAAATGAACTTAATGCTTTTGTGTCCAGTTCTACTCAGCGAAGTCTGAGGTACTGTGGTTCTTGTTGCTGCGTCATGGGAAATTAGGTAGTGGAAAATCTTTGCTAATAATTCCTACGGATATCGTGTTTGTAACTGAATATGTTATAATGTCATAGGTCTCTTGATAACGGCATCAACATAGCACGTTAGTGACACTTCCTCCGTTATGTTTATCCTCACCCAATTTATCATGAGATACTTAAAATAATATTAATTTAGGCTATTTGTAGTGTACGACCTCATTTGTATTGTTACGTGTTAGGGTTCGTTGATTCGGAATAATAAGCCTTCTGACGTTTAAGAGAATTTATTATTACTAGACTTTAAGACATTCACGCATACTCAATAATAGTCCGGAGTGATCGCCGAGGTCGCTGGGTTACACTTACAAGTATATTCACTTCGATCGCTTCGATGTTTAAAGCACTGTAGCTCGAACTGAACTGACTCCAACGAAGACGTGTCCGTATTCATAATACTCGTAAAAGAACACTCCAGCAATTTCCAATCCCTACAAGAACCGAAAACCCTTCCGAGAAATACAAATTCGTTTCAAATGTAAACAAGATAATCGCGCAGCAATCTATTTTCGATCTAATTCGTATTGTTATAGAACTTATTGTTACGTGTTAACCTGCATTATTATTAAACGATTTCCGGAACAGTGCGGTTAATCGAACTTTCGCACTGTTTTGTGACAGTATGTTCATACCTTTTTTATCTTCGAAATATAAAACAAAAGAAGTCATCATCAATTTAAGGTACTATCTTTCGAATTTTACAATTGTGACATTAATTATGACATTTTAATTTTGACGTGTAGTATCTTTCCTTTTGCTCTGTAATATGTAGGATTGATTTCGTGAAAAGGGACGTAAATGTGTAACAGTCAACTGGCGAAGCGAGTGCGTAAAGTTGGCCGACAAATAGTAGGTGAGACGTATGTTACATATCCTATGCGAGTATTGTATGGCTCGCTCGTTTCTTCTTTATTATTAAAACAATAGGGAGAAGCTAATATATGTAATAAGAAAATTTTATTGTTATATATGTGTATATATATACATTCTACACCTATATATATATATATCGCGTAATTTTTGTTTCTCATTTGTCATTAATGCAACCACAATGTACCACAAGTGTAGCAGGGTACAGCTAGTTTGTTATGATACTAAATTGTTCTAAAATAGAAATATTTTGATCCGTTTATTTGCGTATGTGTGTGTCTAGAAGAAACTCTGCAATCCCACTCAGTGTAAATATGTAATGTATTTACAATAGCCAGGGTTTTCTTACAAGTAATATGTGTTTATTGACAAGAATAGTATCTCCGTATACTTATTTGTGTACAAGTTATACTTCGTTTAAGACTGGGTAGCACTATGTGCAGTTCTTCTAATAATTAAGGGGTTAATGACTCACCTGTTGCACTTCAGCGGTTGTAGATCTAAATAGTTCAATGTATCTCGCCCCAATGGACTTGCGATGTCGTGAGAGAGCTTTAGAGGCATCAGTCTCTTTGGCGAACAGGACGAAAGCGTCGCCAGTGGCTCTACCGTCAGCCCTCCGGACGAACAGTACGCCTTCCGCGCCATCTAACACTTGGACGGGGTCATCACCGGTTGAGAAGAAGTCCAGCTAGAAAATATATTTAAAAGTAAATCGAAAGTACCCTGTCAGTCTGTCTGTTAGTTTTCAGGGTTAAACCGCTGAACCGATTTGAATGAAATTTGGCATCGAGATACTTTGATAGAGAGAAAGGACATAGGCCACTTTTTATTGCCATAACCGATATACACGCGTGCGAGTTTTTAATGAACAAGAAAAAAAACATTGGAGAAAATAGAAAGTATAAAAATATTCTTTAAACTCTCTTTTTCAATCGGGAAATGTAATTTAGGTATTGCGTGGTGATTTGTCACAGAGGCTTTGCGCGTTAGTTGCAAGAAAATTAGTGATCATTTATTGCCATGAGCGCTATAATGCACCTTATGATATAGTCTTGAGAGTCGTGATTTCAAAAAGTGTATAAGATATTCCTAGAAGTAGAAGCCCTCGCGTCAAGAGACGTGGTATGTATAGTAATCCGTCTATGTAAGTTAACATAATATCTACGTCAGTGAGAGGTTCAGGCCTGAGGGCATAGTTAACGCCAACAAGATAACTTGTCGCCTATTGTTTTCTAATTGGCTTGCTACTTGATGCATGCAAATATGTACAACAACTACGCTCTAGAATCTCTAGATTGTAATACTAAAGACATAAAAATATCCAATCGAAAATTTTCTTATTCCATTAATAAAACGAAAAAACAAAACTAAATTTATACTTCTGTTTGAGAAGAAGTCCCTTAAACTATACGCACCTATTAGGAAAAATAGTAATAAAAGAAGTAAACGAAAGTGATTAAGGATTAAAAACGATTCGGTTACAAACAAAAATTTAACTTTCTCCTATATCAGGCAATATTTAACGGTAAGTACTGGCAGCTACACTCAATATCAGTGAAATCACCCATACGCAATGGCAACCCTACTCTTACAGTTAACTTACCCGTATTGAATAATAGAAAGTTGAAAAAAACAGTCATTTCCCTTTTTCCCATCGCTTATTATCCATGACTCGACTGGCCTATCTGAATTCTTATTTCAAACTAGCTGAGACCCGCGGTGTTACCCGCGTTTGTTGTTATAGCCGCGGGCAACGCCGCAGGGCGAAGCTAATCTAAAAAAAGTAGCCTAAGTTAGTCTTTATGTCATCAGCTATCTGCCAGTGAAAGTCCCGTCGAAATCGGTCCAGCCGTTCCAGAGAGAACAGACAGAAAGACAGAGACAAAAATTGTAAAAAATGTTATTTTGGCATATGTACCGTGTAAACATACATATGCATTTAGTAAAAAGCTGTTATTTTAATATTACAAACAGACACTCCAATTTTATTTATTTGTATAGATTATAGACTATACTCACAACTTGCTGTGGTGTGGCATCGTAAGGTAGACCTCTCATCCGCACGATGACCTGTGCTCCACGCGAGAGGAATGCAGCAGCTTCACAAGTTGCTCCCCCAGCAACTGACAGGAAGTCCTCTCCGCTAGCACGGTACACCTGGTAAAAGATCAGACATGAGAAAGTTTTACAATTGAAGAGTTTTTACTAAATGTGCAAACTTTCTGAAAAAGCAGAAAGATTTATAGTATTGAATTTTCATTTAGCGTATATTGAAACATGAAGCGACTAGGCATGCCTCTAACCCAAAGAGCTAAAAAACTCAGTGAAAGAGAACCTTGTTCTTAGAAAGTTCAATTTCCACGCCAACATATTACTATTAGCCTAGGTTGAAGAAGAAGCAGTAGCGTCTTACTTCTTTGTTAAGTCAAATAAAAGAACTTAGAATATAGAACCTTCTCGTGGTTGTAGAAGAAATTGGAATATGTAATAATAACCTTGGTGAAACAATCATTCATGCTCAGAAACGCCGTTCTACAATTTTAAACGACAAACATGAAATAATGCTTTCAAAACACAATGGTTTTGATACACAAACAAAAGGCGTCAATCTTTTCCACATCCACTTACGTAGGTAATACGTATTTTACGAATTTGTTGTGCTATCAAATATTTTTGATGTGTGACATCTTTCCTCACCCTGGCAATCAATGGGGTTTCATAACAAGGAACGGAAATGTGTAACAGGAAACCGGTGTAAAACGCGCTATTTGATTTGACCAAAGAGACTGTCTCACTGACTCACACGTGAATACTGTTTTCAACATTACTCCTGTATCTATCAACTTTCAATTGATCACAAGTGTATGCAACAATTACAAACTTCACTTCAACTTCAACGATAGATTATTCCAGAGTTGTGCTCGTTTAAACAAAAAATCTTATGCTTTAAAAACCCTTAGGATAATATTTATAGTACTCCCATTTAACAAGGCTTCATGCGTCATTAAAATATCTGCTTTTATAATTTTATTTAAATGAAAACTTTAAAAACCAGAATTTGCTACAAGAAGTTAATACCCTTTTCAGTACAAATGAAATGGTTTCCAAAACCTGTAAAAATATAATGTAACATGCAATCGTCCAAAGTATGTTTCTAATGAAAGGATGAAGTGTTACCTCGATGTACCGTGATCCTATATGGTGCTTGTGTCTTTTGAGCGCCATGTCTCTATGTTCTTGTGACACGAACCGCACCAGCGCCTCGCCGTTGCGTCTACCTTGAGGCGACAGGCACAGAGCTACGCCACCCCTGCAGACAAAAAAAATCTTTAAATTATGTTTTGTTTAAAAGAAAATGGCTGAACAAAACACAAGCGATGCGATGACCGCTGCGTTAACCACCGCCATTTTTGATGGACCGTTGTTTGGAAATTCAGTTATTTGTACGAATATTGTTTCTAGAGTTAAAATAATCTAAAATACGATGTGAGTCTAAAAAACAAGGTGTTCACTGGTCTTGTGGTACAATGACACAAGAAACAAATTTCTATCTTGGTAGCTGTTTTAAGTTATTTAACTTTCACGAAATTCATATTTCGAAGAATGGATGCACCTAATGCCCCTTAGCAAGGGAAGAATTCACGTAGGTTCCCTTACAACATAATGAAATTATTGTAACGTATATAGTATTTATACAAGTACAAGTACTTACTTTGCAACATTGAGGCCTCTAAAAAATTTAGCGATATCCTGATCCGACGATTGCCACGGCAATCCCCGAGCACGCACTATGCAGTTACCATCTATTTCATCGTCCTTTGAGCTAAAACAATAGAAAAAAACACCATTAGACTTCTTTTCAAGAGACTCGCATCTTATTGACTTGCTGTTTTTGCATAATCTAATACACAAGAAAAAAGATTCTTTAAACAGACGAAAATAAGCTTTTAAGGCACCGACATCATCTAAAAAGCTATGATAATCGGATTGGCCCGAAATGTGGCTAAAATAAAATTATTTTTCTATTAACTTATCGATATTTATTTAAATAACGTGCAATACTGTATTAATTACAGATTCTGTTTAAGTTGAACTATAAAAAGATTGTATTTAAATAGTATTCGTCTATGGCAACGTCGTAATAAAAAGAGATAAGAATATATGTTTTCGCTCTATGTTCTACTCTTCGCGATGCTCATCGTACACGTCAATTAAAACGGATAGTGACTGTTTGATATTTGAAGAATTATTTAATTATTTTTAGTTTTTTAGTTACTCTTAATTTAAATAAGTATCGTTATGTAGTTAAGTTTTTGTAAGGTTCACCTAGAAACCATACATTTCAAAGCTACGAGTACCTACTACTTCTAGACAGACGAGTTAAAAAAAAAACCACACCGGTGTAAACCGGTTGATAGGATTCACAAACCTTTAATGACATTAATCATGATATTACCTACACAAAACTTTTGTTTACTAGTTTAAATCAAAACCGCATGACCAAGAAATGAACCCAAATTACCATTATAAACAGCCTTTTACACTTTGACACTTAAACCTCAACCATGTTTTTCGGACACTGCTGGTTAGATATACTTATCTCTTTTCAACACAAGCAGCGTTGCCATTAGTTAAACTAGTACAATCATGCATAAATGATTTAACTTTTAGTAATACAAACGTCAAATAACGATCTCCATATTCGTTCATGACAGCGTAACACTTTTTTTAAATTATTTTTTCAGACAGTTTTTTTTCTCGTCGTATCTTGAAGTTTCCACAGTCTCACCACTTGCCACAAGAGAATTCAGATAATAAAATGAACTATACACTTCACCATTTCAACTGCCATTGAATGCTGAAGTTTATTATTTATTATGATGGTAAGTTGTTTATGGTCTCGATAATGCTATATTCTTTATAAACAACATTATTTAAAATTACGTGGTTTATTTTTTATTTTTTTAAATATAGCTATCGAGAAGAGGCGATGATGTGATTTACATGCCTATTATATACTTAAGTTGTTTATTTTTCTAACGGCCCGACATACTAACCCATTAAAATAAATATTGGCTTAGAATGGTCCTTTATTTAATAGTGTGTGGTTATTGATAAACTTAAATTAAATTCTTAAAAATTATTTTGGTTTAGTAGATTTTCAGGGTTTCCAAATGATCATAATACTAATTTGGCTAAAATATCAGGCACATTAATCTAACCAGCTATACATATATCTAAGTTTAAATATTCCTTCCCTTTTTTAACTTAAATTGTTCTTTATTTTCTTTGGGATTTTAAGATTTCTTTAAGTATTTTCAAAACTAATTTTAAGATACGTTCCAGAAAATTTGTGTTTTTCTAGAGTCCTTTCAGATCAAATCAAGTCAAATCTATGTTGGGAGTATATGTCGTGATATGTATCGCCTACCGGCTACCTATCCTTCTTTATAGGTGTGGTAATGTATAATAGAGGTCTGTAACGTCAAAGGTTTAATACCTGTTTAAGGAGCCCTAATACAAGCTACGGTTACTTTGGACTTAGAAAACGCTGTGTAATATGTCACAGAACAAAAAAATCCGAATGTAGATTTAGCTCACAAACAATGGCGGCCAGTAATCTGCAACGCTGATTTGAGTGCCACGTTTGCGCGCGCTCAGAATACGTCGTAAATTTTTTATCGTTTCCATATTATAAAGAAATCTTTGGTTTGTTGGTTTATAGGGAAACTGTTGCGATTATTTTAGTGTTCGTAAGTTAGCACTTTCCCGAATGACTTTAGGTGTAGTATAGTGTTATAATAATAGGTTTGACAAGAAAAACCTTTTAAAAAACTTATAAGGCTTAGGATTTACTTCGTCAGATTCAATAGTTGTATCTAAATGGTTATGTCTCATTATTTAGCGGCGTCAGTAGCATTAAGGTGTCGAACTTGCGAACAAACCCTACTCAGTGACTGCCGAAGTACCTAACAGAACCACGTACGTTACCAATATGCTTATTTTACTTACCTAACACAAGCGTAGTACTAGTACGAAATATGGGGTCATCCCACAGAATCTCATCCCACTACATCATTATCTTAACTGATTCCAATTTTTATTCCACATTCATCCCAGGACATTTTAGTCATTTCTATTCGTAACTGATCCTATTTTGTTCAATGTGCTATTCTTAACTCATCCCATGCCAGAATTTTCTTATAAAACACGTATTGTGAGCACAGTTTGCAAAAAAAAATTAAACAACTGTGAAAAAAGGATTGAAGAGTCTCAAAATAAGAGGCAGATACAACACCTATTACAGACCATAATGTAAAACCAAACTGTTTTCGAACAGCAAAACAAGCACTTATTTCTTTTTTATTAACCAGATTTAAAAAATATTAAATGTACTTGTAATCAAGGAGCACTGTGATTAGTACACCTAATTTTTTTTGTTGACGGGGTAGAAAATCCCTTCGGACCTCTGCTCCATGGGGACTCACGAGCCAGGAGTGTGTGGTGATTCCACTCAAACAGCCACTCAGAAGATTTTACTTAACAAGGTGCAGGTAGAAAAAATTTACTAAGTGTTTAAACTATCTTGAGAACTTATTCTAATGAAAGGGGTTCTGTCTGTCTAGCAGTCTGTGATAATTCTGTTTCTGCCACTTAATCAGTATTCGTGAACACTTAAACGTGTGTCCTATACAGAAATTATATTGGTTTTAAATAAAAAGACATACCAAAATACTCATTGGTAAACTTTGATATTCCTTGTAACTTAATTAAATAATTTAATTGGTTTAATGCATGATTGTGTTATCCATACTTTTTCAGTACTTATTGCGGTGGGATGACTTAAGCATAACAAAATATTTTTTAAGGTGGGATGAGTAAGGACTAAGCATTTGGGATGATATAAGGATGGGATTCAGTGGGATGAAGACGGAATAACCCGAAGTACTTATGTATTCGCAAAATAATACTGTTAATTTCAAATATACGAGTACATATAATACCATTATTATTGCAGACTGTTATTATCATTTAAATGACTATCAGATTTTATATTACAACATGATATCGATAACAGATTACTCAGATTACCTACTCATTTTGTGTTCATAGTGATTACGATATGCAATATAGTTTTGTCGTGTCATTCTTTGATTACTGCACAGGTGGGGGCGTAAAAAGTGACTACAATGTTTGTTTAAGAATATAAGTTTTAAAATTTCGGATAGTAAAGAGCGAAAGGTTTGTAGACATGAAACAACTCGGTCTTCAGAGTAACCACTGAGGGCCGCAGACCATGAAATGGCGTGAATTTACGCGGGATTTCGCTTGTTCTGAAAGAAAGTGAAAACAAAGAGGCGAGACAACAAAAATGTTTAGTATTCCACTGCTGGACATAGGCCTCCTTAGAAAGGAGGTTTTGGCCTACTATACCAATCTGGCCAGACTGGTTGGTATAAGGTTTATTTCAAGTTTTCTTTCTTTTTGCAGAGCCGTTGTCCGTATTTTTAATCCGTTCTACACAGACAGATATTTCATTTACTTTACACTGAATAAAAGGCTTTAATTTCGTGAATTTTTTACTTCTAGGCAAGAGTTCCCCGTCGGATACAACTTTTTTTTTTTACCGAAAACACACGTGAGTAACTCCTTGTGTCCTTTATAAATATAAATAGCACTCACGAAAGTGAGTCTATGATTCTAATCTTATCTTATAGTTAATTATTATAACAACATGTTTGTTCCTTCTATAAATTTGCTAAACACGTCTTTCCCATGACCGTCACGCAAGTAAAAGCGTAACCACATTTATAAATACTTTATACGAATATGTATGTAAGCCTGTTACGCTTCAGACGTGTCCGTACTAAAAATGTGATTTCATGCTCACAGATTTTATATTATTTGTTTTTTTATGGTAAAAAGCGACAATCAAGTAGACATGTCACGTGATGGTAAGTGACAACAGCCGCCTATGGACCTGTACCTGTAACTCAAGAGTCACAAATTCGTCCCCATCATCATCATCAAGTCAATCAACAGTCTTTAATAGTCCACTGCTAGGCATAGGCCTCTCCTTAGAAAGGAGGTTTTGGCCTACTATACCTTGCTGGCCAGACGGGTTAGGGTTTGTGTCAAGTTTTCCTTCTCTTTGCTGTGCTGTTGTCTTACGCAGTTTGCTCCCTTAGTCGGCTCTTACGACACCCACGGGATGAATAGGGGTGGTGACACTCTGTATTCTTATGCATGTATTTAGTAATAAATAGGGATGTTTATCAGCAGCTCTGCCTAGTAGGGAATCAGGTAGCCGTGTGTTGGATGTTTCAAGTTATTATTATATAAAAGTTCATTAATTTCACTAAAACTTGGTTTAAATATGATTTATTTTCTTATTCTCTGTAACTAAAATCATACTCTTCGTAAATTATTTCCCTAAAGTTTATTGGGTTCTTAGGGTTTATTATAGTGAGGTTTTATTCCCAAGACTATTCAAGGTTGTTCCCACGGACTCATAACATGTAAAGCTTTGACCTTACAATGGCAATTCTAATAATGAGCCATTTACGGGCTTGAAGTAATTTTAAAGATGTCGGAAATAAACTAGTAGGTAAGTAGCAAGCTATACTGTTAAAATATTTGATGTCACTGGGAATTGAGGCTTAAACTTACTTACTTGTTACTTATCTAGTCTCAATGAGAAAATAACCATCATTAATGACTTAAAAACAAAAATAAGTTAGTGATTAAAAAAACAAAAAAAAACACGCTTTTATAACCCGCCGAACCAAAAAGTAGAAATACTTTTCTAAAAATTCAAAAAGA